CCAGTCCCAGTCCCAGCCCCAGCCCCAGCCCCAGCCCCCAGCCCCAGCCCCAGCCCAGCAGCCCCAGCCCCAGCCCCAGCCAGCCCCAGCCTCGCTCAGCCTCGCCCCAGCCCGAGCCCCAGCCCCAGCCCCAGCCCCAGCCCCAGCCCCAGCCCCAGCTCCAGCCCCAGTACTACTTTCACTCCTAGTACTACTGGCACTTCTGCTACTACTCCTGCTACTACTACTCTACAACTACAACTACTACTACTACTACTACTACTACTACTGCTACTGCTACTACTACTACTACTACTACTACTACTACTACTACTACTAACTACTACTACTACTGCCACTACTACTACTACTACTACTACTACTACTACTACTACTGCTACTACAGCAGCAGAGTCAACTGGAGTGAAACGACCTGGCCTTGTGTCGTGTTAACAGGGCAGCCTCGTGGAGCGAAGAGTCTGTGAAACGGAGCCCACGTGAGCTAGAGGTATCAGGAGGCGCAACGTGTAACATCCATTAAGCGAAGGCGTCAAGAGTCTCTGGGTTTGTAAGTCGGCCAAGTATCAATGGAAAGCATTTGGACTTGAGCGAAGAGTCTGTGAAACGGACGCATAACGAAGCACTAGTACCTGCTAGGCGAAGTCGTTGAGAGTCTCTTGCGTTTACTTACTACTACGAGTAAGAAGGTATGACGCTAAGTTGTAAATCGAACTTCGCTAGTGAGTAATAAAACGAACTTTGTATTCTCTTAATGTTATGGGATTCTGAGGGTGGGTGGGAGTTATATCGAAATCATGAATACAGCTATACTGTAACACTGCTCGATCCGGAGCTGCTGAACCCTAAACCCTAAACCCTAAACCTCGGTGTTTGGAAATAGAAACTGCGGGGCGCGGTCTACATTAGCAGCCGTTTCGTCGTCGGAGGCCGTGCTCTCTGCGGGGTTGCAGAAAGACCTGCCTTTGCCCCCAGCCGCGCAGCAGGCCAGCATGGCCATTTGGGATTTAGGGCTTTTCGGGCTCAGGGTTGAGTTTAGTTTAGGATTTCGGGGTCGAGGATTTTGGGGTTTGGGTTTCTGTCGAGGATAGTGCTTCTCTCAGCAGTGGTCTAGTGCTGTATCGCTCCACTGGAGGAGTAGAGCACACTGAGAAGGTTAGAATCCGAACAACGCTTAAGATCTGCGCCCTCGAAAATATCTCACAAACCGTACGGCGTGTCACACCACTCTCGAAATTGATATTGATCCCGAGCTCACACGGTTTAGGGTTTAGGGTTTGGGGTTTTAGGGTCAGGGTTACAGGTTTTGTTTGAACATCCCACAGTACCTCTGCCCAACATGTGGGAGCTTTTACCAAACCTCTGGTCTGGAGCATTAAATACTAGGGTCCTGATAACAAGAAGGTACCCCTAAACCCTAAAGCCCTAAACCCTAGTGCCACCCCAACTTAAAAAACAAGCCCTAAACCCTAATTTCAAGTAGCCCTCATGTCATGTGGGGAGAATTGAGGTGCTTTGGAGAACTGAGGTGGTAGGAGTTCTCCCTCAAACGGGCAGTTCTCTCGCTTAGAGCCCTTTTTGAGTGACGTGCTTTGTTAGGGACCCCCCAAAAAACCCCGATTCCCTGAACTCCTTAAGCCCTAAACCCAAATATCCGAAACTCTGAACTATTAAGGTCCGGAACCCGAAAATCTCCCAAACCCTACCCGACGCCCGAGCCCCTTAAACCCAAACCCACTGTAATGTAGGGGCCTTAATAGTTACCCATACTCTTCCTGGGGTTCCTTCTTATGACTATAATATAATGGGCCCCAAAACCCTATTCTAATGATTAAGGCCCCTATCCCCTACATCCTCATAGTAGCCCTTATAGCATCCTTTAAAGAGCCCATAAAAGAACCTTATTCTAGTTCTGAAGGCCGCTGCATTAGAGGGTTCCTCGGGCCGGGGCTCGCGTTTAGGGTTTAGGGGTTTAGACTGTTGGGGTTTAGGGTTTAGGGTTTAGGGGTCTAGGGGTTGAGACTTTTGGGCTTTAGGGTTTAGGGGTCGGTCTAGGGGTTTAGACTGTTGGGGTGTAGGGTTTAGGGTTTAGGGGTCTAGTTAGTCTAGGGGTTTAGACTCTTTTGGGGTTTAGGGTTTAGGGTTTATGGGGTCTAGGGGTTAGGGTTTAGGGTAGGGTGTCACCGCTTTGCTTCAGAGGTGGTCGCGACGAAGCTGAAATCTGCAGACATCGATGCTGTCGCCCAAGAGGCTGCGTCGAAGTGCTCGGCAGAGGCCCCTGAGGGCCGCTACATGCTTGGGCTTAGGGGTTTAGGGTTTAGGGGTTAGGGCTTTGGGGGTTTAGTGTTTTAGGGTCTTAGGGGTTTAGGGTTTAGGGCTTTAGGGCTTTAGGGCTCTAGGGCTTTAGGGTTTAGGGTTTAGGGTTTTGCCTCGCCTTCATCTCAACTGTACAGGGCATCGGGGTCTTGAAACCCCCCAAAACCCCAAAACCCTTCCGATCGCCGCGGACCCAGCTTCGAAGAGAGACCGATTCCGTTCGCCCTGACAGCCACGATGCTTAGGGTTTAGGGTTTAGGGTTTAGGGTTCGGAGTTGGTCCAAGCCTGCGTCAGCACAGCCTCAAAACCCAACCTTATGCTCTGAGCCCGTTTCCCTCTAGCCCAAATCCCCGCAGCCGATTCAACTCGCAGGAGTTTGCTGACTATGCGGGGCGCCTTCGCTTCCTGCTTGCACAGTATGCGTCTCCTTCTCGGTCCGATCTTCTCCTTTCGCCATCATTGAAGCAAGAACAGCCATAGGCGGAACAATATTCTTTCTTGCAAAGTGATCCAGCGGAGGGTGAGTCAATACTTCTACGCGAAGGTTCTGGGGTCCTAGGCAGACCTCGAGCATTTATCTACTGCCAGATCCAATTACGAGCCAAGCCGTGGAGTGGGGTTCTAGGGCAGGTCTGAGCTTTGATCGAGACGGCTTGCTCGTCGGCATCGTCGTAGGAGGCAGGAGGAGTCACAGAAGTGGCTGTCGTCGTCGGAGTGGTGGAGGAGGCGTGCTGCTGTTGCGCGTATACACATTTCAAGTACCACCGCCATCTACCGCTTTGACTTCCATTACCATGGTGAAGACTGCTACTGCTACACCAGTTCCTCTACCGACTCCTGTATTGCTGCCACTTCCCTATGTTCCTTCTCCTCGTGCTGCTTCTGGCACTGAAAGTGTTGCTTTCCTCCTCCTCCTCCTCCCCCCATATCCCGTCCTTCCCCTGGAAGCGGTCTTGAACTGGAGCTTTTTGGAACCTGGATTTGAATTTGGGAAACCTGAGACGCTGCCCCACATTTAACCCTTGATGTAGGGGCCTTAATGATTAGAGTAGGGCTTTGGGGTCCTTATTACAATTATAATGTGATATACCCCAAAACCCGCTTCTAATGATTAAGAGCCCCTATGTTATTCAATATCCTGAACCCGAAACCGAACTGAAGCAGACGCCTTTCCATGTCTTGGCTGCATATCTTCTCAGGTGGATACCTGGCCGAAGTTGAATCCTCGCTGTTCTCAGAAGGACCCTAAACCCTAAACCCTAAACCCTAAACCCTAAACCCTAAACCCCCGTGTTGAAGGGTCTGGGCTTTCGGTCAGCGGTACAAGGTCGTTTAAGGCTTTAAGGAGCCTGATGGTACTTGGAGGTTCACGGGTAGTTATAAGTGGGGTTATAAGTCCCCTAATATGGGTTTTAAGTATAGTTACCCTACTTACAACCCCATTTATAACTACCCATGAACCTTCAAGTACCGATTCAAGTCTTTAAATCCAGGCACCCAAAAGGCACGAATACTGAAGCCGACCCGCTTGCGGCCTCGAAGCCTACGCCGTAAGCTGCCGGCAGGTTTGATGTTTGAAGCAGTATCCCCTTGTAGCCCCTGTATATCTATACTATCATATGGGTAGTTGTCAAAATTATGGTCCCTTTTTGGGGTACCCTAAATAGTAGGTGCCGTATTATAATAAGGACCCAAAAAGGGACCATAATTTCGACAACCACCCATATACCCCCCGAGACCGGCTCTAATTATTGAGGCGCATGTGTTCGCACGAATGCAGGAGGGTTCGGACGTCTCAAGGTGTTGGGACCCTTACGTTTAAACAGTGAGCCTCTAAACCCTGAACTCAGAAGTCTTGAAGCTTGATATAGTGGTCGGATCAGTTAGTCATGCTATTCCATAGGGCTCATGATTATACCTGAAGGATCGTGCAAGCCTCGGCCGGTTTGTACAGGGTAGATCAGCGGGCCACAAGGCCGTGCTGGCGAGGCCGATCTAGTTCCACCCCGACTTCGGATAGACATCACTGCGAGTCGCACTGCTTGCGCCGTGCACTCGCGTCACAGCATGTGTGAGCTATACCTATACGAGAAACGTACCCCAAAACTCTAAGCCCGCTAGTAGAAAATGGCTCTCAAACCTGCCACAAACCCTTTATGCTAAGATCTTGACCCCTAAAGCTCTTAAAGCCCCAAGGTTCAGGGCTTGAGGTTTAGAGCCCTCAGACCCTCATAATATCTTTATGTACATTTATATGTATGCATACATATGATAACCTTTGCGTCGTATGCCTTTGTATATGTGTATGTGTAAGTCTATGTCTATGCCGATGTCTATGTCTATGTCTATGTCTATGTCTATGTCTATGTCTATGTCTATGTCTATGTCTATGTCTATGTCTATGTCTATGTCTATGTCTATGTCTATGTCTATGTCTACGTATATGTATTTGTATATGTATGGGTATAGGTATAAGTATATGTATATGTATGTGTATGTGTATGTGTACGTATGTATATGCATATGCGCATGTGTATGTATCTGTATAATTTCATACGGAGAGCCTTATCAGTCTGTATCAAGCCCTCACAGCCCTAGACATGTGCTTGCGATTCCCAACCCCTAGTAAACCTTGTATCTTGGCCATGGGGTTCTAAGACGGATATGATAAGCGCTAGGATTATGGCCCAGTTATGGCACCATATCACAACCCCGAGACCGCAAATCCTTGTTAAAATGCTTTGCAGGACTCCACACCCTGGGCGCTGCACCATCTGTGGATGAGATGCGAGGAGGGGCCTGTCTTTGGTTAGGGCTTCAGGGTTTTAGGGGTTTGGGGTTTAGGGTTTAGGTCATTCCCCGCCCTGATTTGTGGGGGCGTTGCCTCTGTATCCTAAACCCCGGTACCCTAAACCCTAAACCCTAAACCCTAAACCCCAAACCCTCAAAAACCCGATACCCCTAGGGTTCGGCGTTTGGTTCTCGAGGGTTGTTAAGGCCGGGAAGGTCCACGACCCACCTCTCCCACATTCAGGGTTTAGGGTTTAGGGTTTAGGGTTTAGGGTTTAGGGCTTTTAGCAGTTTAGGGTTTAGGGTTTAGGGTATACCAGGACCCCACCAATGGCCCTTTAATAGAGCCCTTATGGTCTTTCATAGTGGGTATTTGGGGGATAATAGAGGGTAGTTGGGGGGTCTAGGTAGGGTTTAGGGTTTAGGGTTTAGCCTTCAGGGTATAGGGTGTGAAGGTTTGGGTTCTCATTATAAGTTGGCCCTATGTTTGAAAGTATAGCCCTTACTTGGAGGTTCATGAGTAGTTCTAATTGGGGTTATAAGTCGGGTAACTGTGCTTATAACCCGTATTAGGGGACTTATAACGCCACTTATAACTACACATGAACCTCCAGGTTGTTTTTGTCGGGCTATGCGCGGGGCATGAAGAGGACGTTTGAGGGTTTGGGACTCGAATCTAGGCTTGTTGTCGAATGCATCCTTGCTCCGATCGGGTCAATTATGATACGGGAGTTTTCGAAAAGAAGGGCTACCTAATTTTGGATCCTCATAATAAGGATCCTGCTATTTAGGGTACTATATTAGGCTCCCCTATTTTCAGAAAACCCCATATAGATCCCTGACTAATGAACCCGTTTTCTTTCGGGGCTTTAATATTCGGATCTTCATATTTCACACATTTTGGAGCTAAAAGGGGTTTACCATTCAGGGCTCGTCTAGGTTTTGTGGTGTACGTGCTCTTGGTCTAAGAGCTTTGGGCGTGCTTGGAGGTTCATGGGTAGTTATTCGTGTAGGGTATGGGTTATAAGTATAGCTACCCTACTTATAACCCCATGTATAACTACCCATGAACACTAAACCGTAAACCCTAACCCCTTATAGTAACCCTTATAGTAACCCCATTTATAACTACCCATGAACCTCCAAGTAGCGCGTTGAGGCTATCAAACCAAGGACCTAAGGCCATACACCGAATGAAAACCTCAAACCCCCAACCAAAGACAAAAGGTCATAACCCGGACAGAAAACCCTAAACCCCAAGCCAAAGACAACAACACCTTCAACCCCAAATCCCCAAACCCTAACCCCTAAACCCTAAACCCTAAACCCCTAGACCCTAAACCCTAAACCCTAAACCCCTAAATCCCTGAACCCCTAAACCCCCAGACCCAGGCTACCTAACCGCCTGCTTCGAAGAGACGAAGAGCTCCTCGCCCCTCCCGGCTGCGGCCATCGCCCGGGTCTCAGGTTCAGGGCATGACCCTCTCGAGGGTTTCCTTGAAAGGGATCCTTTCTACGATTCCTTTAAGAGTTGCTTAAGTTTAACCCCTAGAGTCTAAGAATTAATAAAAAAAATTACTAAATATATATATATATATATATGGGTTGTAAAAGAGCTTAGCCTTCAGGGCCTGTGGGACACGATTTATTATTTTGGATTTACGGCTTCGGGCCTTTGTGGCGTTTAACGTCGAGAGATGGCCGTAGGGTTGTCGCCCCAAAACCCTATTCAAATTACTGAGGCCCCTAAACTAAACCCTAAACCCTGATAGCAGCCCTTGTAACCCTTGAAGTAGCGCTGTAAAGGAACACTATTTTAATTATTAAGGCCCCCATATTAGGGCCGCAAAGGGAGCTGCAGGGTGGAAGTTTCCAACCGGCGGAGCTCGGCCCCTGATGCCCGGAGGCGCATGGTAATCCGGACCTTGCATTGGGCCTTATACGGTCGTGAAGCCTTACATCTACAACTACAATCCTGTACGTTTAGGATTTAGGGTTTAGGGTTTAGGGCTTAGGGTTGAGGGTTTAGGGTTGAGGGTTGCGGGTTTAGGGTTTAGGGTTTGAGCCTAAACTTCTATCCTCCTAGCCCAAGGATCTCGATAAGCAAGACAGTGCTGCGAAGCAGTGAGTGCTTCGCGATCAAACCCTAAGCCCGAAACCGTTAAACCCTATAATCCCAAGCCCCAAACCGCTAAACCCTATAAGCCTTAAGCCCTACACCCAAAACCCTATAAACCCTATAAGCCCGAAGCCCTATAAACCCTGAACCCTATAAGCCCTATAAGCCCTAAACCCAAGAGCTACGACGTAGTGGCAAGGGTCTGGCGCTCCCAGGAGAAGCTGGCAGAAAGCGCTCCAGACAGCAGCTCGGATGACTTTAGGGTTGAAAAGGTCCTAAACAAGGGTCACATGTTAAGGGATCTATAAAGGGCATAAGGCATAAGGGAATTTTAAGGGTAAACTCGATCTATCAGGGTTGTATCCTAAGGGGTCAATTATAGGACATTACAGGACAAGGAAATGTATGCTTCAGCAATTGCGGGTGCAGCTGTGATTGGTCGTGAAGCTGAGGCGATGTGATCGGTGCCTGTGTGAAGACCGGTACGGACAACGAGACGACATTCGGCCAAAAACTGGTCAGGTCTGACTGCAAGTGCTTTAATCCAATATTGGAGCCTTAATCAACAACCATTTGTGGTTCAAGCACGGGGGCTTCGGGGGGTTAATTCGTTCAAGTCTCTGCATGAAAGCTGAAGCCCCTAAACCCCTAAACCCCTGAACCCCTAAACCCCCTAAACCCTAAACCCTAAACCCTCAACCTGGCACCCCCAAACTTCCGACTCAAAGCCCCAAGACGGCTGGAAGCCTCAAGCACCAAGCCCAGGCACTCTGAAGAGGGGTTCCCTTTGAATGTAGGCCTTTATAATTTGAAAAGGGTTTTGGGGGTTCCTTCTTGTAACTATAGTACAATATAGCCTCAAACCCTATTCTAATTATTAAGGCCCCTATACTAGACTCCCAGAAACCCTTGAAAGCCTAAACCCCCAAAAAGTCTGAAGCCTTGAACCCTACGCACCTGAGCCCCTAAACCTGCGAACCCCAGATCCTTAATCTCTACAAGCCTCCAAAACCCTTAAACCTCTAGACTCTAAATGAGGGAAGAGCAACTTCCGATTTTCGATACATGTTTGAATCATGCTTTTCTGGCACGACGCCACAGTATGAAGGGAAGCACGGTGAATGTTTAGCATGCCTCCTTAAACCAAAGGATTTGGAAATACGGAATTTGGGTGAAGGGTTTAGGGTTTAGGGTTTAAGGTGCTAGAAGACCAAACCCATCGCAGATTCATCATTTCAGATTGAGCCAAGTTTTCTTACCTACGATGCTCAATGCAACCAAGTTGGAACCAAGCCTTATGCAGGCGGAACTTGAGTCTAGTGGTGTATGCCCTCCATCCCTCATCCCTATTCAGGGCGAGGACACCCTGATCCAGCAAACCCCACAGCCTTAGGCAGTAGTACGAGCAGTCAAACTCGTCTGAAGTATGTTGCTTTGGCACTACGGGTCCCTTCTTAGGGTACTTTCCGTGAGAAATCTTGTTATTCTTTCGGAACACCTCTGCTGCCGCAAAACTTCCTTTCCACGCCCATGCACCGTGCTGTGTTGTCCGAGGGTGCGCGAAGCCATCCGAGAAGCCTCAAGGACGGTCTCGCTGGGTTTAGGGCCGAGGGTTTAGGGTTTAGGGTTTAGGGTTTAAGGATTTGGTTCTATTGCGGTTTGCACTCTGTTCATGACCATAGTATCATTCAACTTCCGGAAAATTACTTGACGCAGACTGAGAGTGTGGATACAGTTGATGACACCGCAACCCCCCCGGTATGTAAACTCATGCAGCGGTGATAGAGCCCGGATTACAACCTCGCGTCCTATTGTGGTATCACCCAAAAACGTAAACCCTTACCTCAATACCTACCTGGAAGAAAATGTTATGGAGAATGGTCGTCCAGGTTATACATATATAATTATATATATGTAAACCTTAACCTCATTCTTATTTCCACGCCCTCAGATCTGAACCCCCACTCCCCAAGCCCGTTGCACCCTCCAAACCATAATATAGGGGTATTAATAATCAGAATAGGGTTTGGGGTATAGCATACTATCATTACATTAAGGAACCCCCAAAACCCTATTCTAATTACTAAGGCCCCTACATTAGACATTATGATTTCTAAGCCAGAGACCAAAACCCTTGTCCAAGCAAGGGTACTATCGTTCCGGGTCTAGGATAGCTCTACAAGCCAAAGATTTGTAGGTGGTGTCGGCTCTCTAAGCTTTTATGGGGCTTTGTGACGAGGCGATGTATCGTGCTTTCAAGAAGGACCCAGCAAACGTCTACGTGCAGAATGGAGTCGGGCATTGAAAACGTCCGCATGCTGCGTGCAGACGCCCCGGCAGTGGTTCCACATGTTATGTACTCCTTGCATAGCACATATCATGACGGAATGTGCGAAATGTTCATGATCCTCCTGGACAACGCTGAAGCATTGATGCGTGACTGGGAGGCCAAGATTTCCAATCCAACCGGCCCGGATTGACGACCCGCAGCAGCCTGATAATGCTATTCCTCTGACTATGTCTACTCTATCCCCAAACCCAGCCTATGCCAATCGGAATCCTGAAAGAAACCCTTCCTACTCTCAGTAGAGTGGAGACTCTCAAGCTGTACAACGCCTAATATAGGGGCCTTAATAATTAGAGTAGGGTTTGGGGGGCCCAGTATACGATACTTATATTAAGGAACCGCGCAAAATAGTATAGGTACTTATTTAGGCCCCTGCATTAATTAGGGTTTTGGGGCTGCAGGGTTTGGGGATGTAAGGTACAGGGTGTAGGACTCCAGCCCTAAACCCTAAACCCTTTAGGGTTTAAGGACTCCAAGGTTTAAGGTTCAGGATTCAAGGTTACCGGCCCGGGTTTAGGGTTTAGGGGTTCAAGGGTGTAGGGGTTTAGTGTTTAGGGTTTAGGGTTTAGGGGCTTAGGGGTTTAGGGGTTTAGGGTTTAGGGCTTCAGGGGTGTAGGGGTTTAGGGTTTAGGGCTGCCTACTATAGGGGTCGGAAAAATTAGAAAGAGTGGTTCCGTCTAATCCCCTTATGCAGCTAGTCTGCACCGCTTCCAGATTAATCCCCAAACTCGAAAGCTCAAAGATCTTTAAGGGCTCTTTAAGGAGTTCAAACACAGACAGCAAGCAGCCAAAATCAGAACTACTTCAGACCGCAAGCAGGCAAAACCAGAACTTAAATGCTGTCCGCGCCCCCAAAAAGCCCTCCTGGACAAGGAATTGATACTGAGGAACTCTCAAGCGGTCGGTTTTGGTAGGGTTAAAGAGCCCTAAAACAGACGAAGTCCTTCAGACCCGATTTACCTTTTTTTTGTGGAGGCTGCGTGACCTGCTCAATCAAAATCACGAGGAGCTGCGAGGCCGAATCTCGAAGGGTTTAGGGTTTCGGGCTTTAGGGGTCAAGAGCTTCGGGGTTTGGGGGCTTAGGCCCCTAAACCCTAAACCCTAAACCCTAAACCCTAAGCCTTAGGGTTTAGGGGATTGGTGTTTCGGCTTTAGGGTTAAGGTTTTGGGGAGTGGGGTTCAGGGTGTGGGGTTTAGGGTTTTGGGGCCTGGGTCTCAGAGCGTCACAGGTCACTCTTGCTTCCGGTAAGGTTCAGGGTTCAGGGTTTAGTGTGATTTAGGGCCCAGGGGGGTTGTAGGTTTAAAGTTTGGGGCTCGGCGTGGTTGCGGACTTGTTTGCTGCTGACGGTCTGGATGTCTGTCTGAGCTTGAGGGGTGACTGTTGGTAGCAAGGGAGGCTCGGAGTGCTGCAATCTTTTCGTGCATTTTCTTTGATCTTATAGCTCCTGTACCATACTATCATATCTGAGGCTGCGAGCATGATCGTACCTCATAATCACGGATTGTATCAGATCGTGGGAGAGTGTCGCATGGTCCTATATCGTCGGTTGAAGAAGCAACTACCAACACTATTTTTTAGTTTCAACATCCTGCTATAACATTCCCCAGACCCTGTTCTGCTTATGAAGGCCCCATGGCTAAACCCTAAACCCTAAACCCCCCATATTTGCTATATTGGGGGTTTCCGAAAATAGGGGGCCCTAATATAGTACCCTAAATAATAGGATCCTTATTATAAGGACCCCAAAATAAGGTACCCCTTGTTTTCAGAAACTCCCCTATTCCTGAATCACGGGGCATGGGGGGTTCTCTCTGTATGGCAAGTGAAGGTCGGGGACCTCCGACCTTCGATTTCCTAAACCCTCTAGACCCAATAAGCCCTAAAGCCAGGGTTTAGGGTTTAGGGTTTAGGCCCTGCGAGCCTTGCGAACTCTGTACACCCTATAGAATATCCTATGAATCTAAACGCTGCAAACCAAAAGCCCTATGAGACCTATAAGCCCTGTAAGTCCTAAGCCCGACAAGCCCTACACACCCTGTAAGCCCTCAGAAGCCTAGGCCCTGGCTCTTCACAGCCTATGAGCCTTATGTAGATGCCATATGCCGTACATGAACGCTCACATAATAACCCGAAGATCCTGGGCACATGCGTGACTGGTTCTGGTTGGCATGCAGTTGTCTCGGGATGCTGCGTGGTCTGCTGGTGGTCCGATCGATGTCCGTTCAGTGTGTTGGCTTACCCTATCATAAGAAGTGCTACACGTAGTTCTTACGAGAGCAGGTCTATTATATGCCCGGGGATTGCAGTAGGTTCGTGCCCAGACCTTTCAAGGCGACTTCGCGGACAGTGCCATGCCGGTCCGAGTGTGGGACCCGAACACGAATGTGGCAGGGGCTGCCCTTGCTCGTTGCCGAGCCAATCGTGTGCAGCGAAAGTGGTTGAAATTGCGGCTGGCCAAGATGACGGCACCGAACACGTTGGTTCTCCTCCTGTTTCATGAGGGGGCGTGGCATCATCATAATCGCCTGGGCTAGGAGTGAAGAAAGACTTGCTTTCGACGCCACTTGGTGAAGTACGGCATTCCATACGAGAGTTGCCACATGTTGCAACGGCCCGACGAAGATTACTGGAAATAGTTTCGCGATGTACAACTGGCGCTTTCGGTGGCTTTGAGGCATATGCACCGCCTTGCAAAAGCACCAAGATATCCGACACATCGTTGCGTGCGAGAACAGCGCGTTTTTCTGATGAGTCCACCGCGCAGCGGTTCTTGAGACTGTCAGCTCGACCCCAGACAAAGACTATCGTTGGCTTGGCTACATCAAAGTTCACCCAGCAAATAAGTCACATTAGACCAACAACTTCCAAGAGCTTCCCCAGCAGCCCCGAAAACGGAAGTCCGAAGCTCCGCATCCCAAACCCTAAACCCGAATTCGCAAATACCCGAAGCCTGAACTCCGTCACCCTAAACCCTTAAGCCCAAAGCCACAAAGCCTTAAGCCCGAAAAGCTAAAATCCCCTACCCCAGATCCCAAAAGCCCTGAAGCCCGAAACGTTACATACACCCTCCTGAGCTGCAGGCATGCTCCGCGCCTTGAATGGCGAGTATGCCGCAGTCTCAGTTTGGGGTTGAAGGTTGAAGGCCTAGAGTCTAGAGTTTCAAGTTTTGGAGTCAGTTTGGGGTTTGGGATTCAAGCTACGGTTCAAGGATGTTCAGGGCTTCGCGTGTCAGTTTTGGGGCACAGGGTTTATGATATGAAAGCGCGATGCGTCTGCCCGGACAGCACCAATTAATGATTTTTACAGCCGTGGCAAAAATCATTTGCGAAACCCCGGGCCTCCAATTACAACCCTGGAGAAACTCGCCAGCCTTCTCATGCAGGCTTTCCCTGGATTTTGTGAATCTCTCTCCCACGAGGTTCGGTTCGATAGAGCCAAAATGTTTCAGCGGCCAATGATTTTTACAGCCATGGGAGAAATCATTCATGAGGTTTTCAGGCAAGGTGTAAATAGTGGAAAACAACACCGCAGGCCCGTGCTGGCTGTCGAGTTAGAGATTTTTCGTTTCTTGCCGTCCCCCATGCATACCAACACTTGCCAATGAAATTTCCCGACCTGTTAAAAATCATTGAGGCTTTTTCAGCAAACTTGCGATCCGCCTGGCTTCCTTTTGTGCGAATCTTTGTTGCGCTGGGTTCCGTTCTCGTTCGCGTTCGGTTCCATTCCGTTCCCGGGGTTGTGCGAGCACCGCCACGCCCTGTTTGTGGTCTAGGACTTAGCGTGTTGGATATGGAGATCACGATCCACAAGGTGGCGATTTCAGCACACCCGTTCGTTTTTAGGGCCACGCAGCGGTGGCGTCAGGATTGGGGTTGCGAGTTCCTCAGCATCGTGCCTTAACATCCGAGCACGAGCAAGTGTGCACCGCTATGAGAAGCTGCATTTTCAGGGTTGTCATTTTGCAGATTCAGGATCTCGGCTGAAGCTTAGGCTGTTGTTATGGAAGTGTATCCGAAGCCAAACGAACTTCAGGTGGTTTGTTTATCAAGACCCTTCCTTCCGGAAGACAAAATGCAATCGGGGTACTGTATGGATTCGCTAAGGCCACGGATCCTGAAATCCTCCGACCAGTCAATGCAGCTGCTTAAATCATTGGAGAAGGCGTAACTTGTTCGGACAGGAGGTATACAATTATACAAGTGTGTAGAATGGCAGTGGTTTCAAGCAGCCCTGATTACAAAGCCTAGTAAGGAAGCACATATGAAAAGTCGCCAGTGGAGACATCCCTCAGATGATAAGCGAAGATGTTCGCAAAAGAGTGTTCCAGTTATGGCTTAATGTTTAGTTACACCCTGGCGCGTTTTGTAAAGTAGATTTAAGATTTGGGGTCGAGGGTCAGCTTAAGCTTTTAAGATACAGATATGAAACTGAACCCAACCTCCCCCAAACCTTAAGCCTACACCCTGAATCCCTCCAGTTTTAGCCTGAACTCCATATACCCTTGTCATGGAAAGGTCCCCCCGGCGCCGGGTGGCGATGTCATCCGCGATGGCGCCTCGGTGCTCCCCACGGGCAGGCGCACGTGAGTGAGATTTGGGATTGTGGGTTTCACGCTTTGTGTGGTGATTTAGAAGAGTCAGGGTCTCTTGTTGGTGGATCCTTCTTCTCAGGATCCTGCTATCTAGCAGCTGCAGTAATGGCGTTTATACTCCGAGACCCCCACCTTGAAGTATGCAAGCAAGACTTAGGAATGACGAGAACTACGAATTTGGCTGCCGCTGGGGGTACACCAAACTACATTCCCAGACCTTTCGACTTCGATTTGTTTCCGAGCAGTTTCTATTGATGAGCTTCTTCGTCGGGGATTTCGCGTGTTTCCGAAAATTTCGGTCTGGTAGCTACGAGGCTTCATACAGGTAGTACGGCATTAATCCCTAAACCCTAAACCCTAAGTTAGTAGATTTGAGGGGTTAGGCGTTTAGGTTTTACATTCCGAGCTTGAAGCCCCGTTCTCCGCGCTTTGTTTCAGCAGTCGATTTTTTGCGAATACGTACTATAGGGTTTCACGGTTCAGGGTTTAGGGTTTAGAATATTATTCCTTATGGTTTCGTTTTATAACTGTACTATAAGGTACCCCAAACCCCATTCAACAATATAGGGGCCTTAATCATTACCGATATTATTCCTCATGGTTCCCATTATAACTATACTATAGGGTACCCCAAAACCCCATTCAATAATGTAGGGGCCTTAAAAAATTGCAAGTATCACTGTTTAGGGTTCCTGATTATAACTATAGAATAATATACCCCCAAAACACTCTTCTAATTGTTAAGGCTCCTACATTACATACACTGGCACTTTAACATTCAGCCCTCAAAGGTGCGAAGCATCCGACCTATATGAACCACCCATTGCCCACTACCATCGCACTTCAGGCTTGACGGCTTTCTATGTTCAGCAGCATTGTCGCAGTTGTATATCTATTTATCTATCTATCTATCTACCTATCTATCTATCTATCGATCTATCTATCTATCTATCTATCTATCTATCTATCTATCTCTATGTATGTATATGTATATGTATATGTATATGTATATGTATATGTATATATATATATATATACATATATATATATATGCATGCATGTCATTTTTGTCGCGGCGAGTCGAAGAGCACCCTCTCCGCTTTCATGCGCCCCTCTGCATCATTCTGCGGAGACCAGGCTTTCCGAACCCAGAGTTATCCCTGAACCCCGGAACCTCCTAAACTTCAATCCCTAAGCGATTAAGCGCTACACCCTAAAACCCAAAGTTCGAAGTTAAAACGTGCCAGGAATATCCATGCCCTGGACCCCTATCGAGTGCCGAGCCGGGCCCTTGATGGTTTCTTTGTGAGGCAAAGTAATGTAGGGGCCTTGCTAATTAGAATAGGGTTTTGGGGGTTTCTGTTAAAGGGTCCCTCAAAAGGGATGCTATTAAGGGTTCTATAATGTAGGGGCCTTTAATGATTAGAATAGTTTATTTTTGGTATATTATATTATAATTCTAGTAAGGAGCCCCCAATATAGGATAGGTAGTTGTTTAACCCCCATTATGGGTTACGACCTTGGAGGGGTTGTGTGGGGTTTGGGAAAGAAGGGCCCTGCAACTGATGCCGAAGCTGATATTTCAGGGCATTTCGGGGTTGGTGCGTGTTAGGGTGTTACTGCTTCAGCGCTTGAGGGTTTCAGGGTTCGAGGTTTGGGGTTGAGAAGCTTCAGAATGTCTAACATGCCACTCACCCGGCTCGGAATGCTTCAAACTTCTACAAGAAACTTGGTTCGAGCACGTACACCACTGCCTCTGCCAGAGGCCCTCTGGTATGCAGCGACACACCGTGGCGAACGGGTGGTCGCCAGAAGCAGCTGCTAGCAGACATGGGCTTCAGATCCCGGACTCTGCCTGGGAAAAATGACAATGGAGATTTTGAGCAAGATTTGCAGGATATGACATCGGGGCAAGATAGCATATGGCTAGGGCCTCTTCGAAACATTCACTGCCGCGATCCCCAGAACTTCGTGGCGGTTTGTTTCTCACGGTATCGTCTCGCCGACTCTCACATCGCTTCGGATGTGCATCCGGAGGCCAGACCATGGATTGGAAGCGACGCCCCTAAATTGAGGGCACACCAGCGTGCTCAGAATCATCAGAAACACAGGGATCAAGTCTAACATCTTGTTCATCATGCCATATTCATCATCATCATCACCATCATTACCATCATTATTATCATCACCATCACCATCATCATCGTCATCACCATCACCATCACCATCATCATCATCATCACCATCATCACCATCATCATCGCCGTCGTGATCTGCACCAGCATTAACAGTGTTAAAATTAACAGCATTAACAGCATTAACATCAACATCATAATCAGCATCAGCGTCAGCGTCGTCATCATTTTTGTCATCATCGTCATCGTCATCCTCATCCTCATCGTCATCCTCATCCTCCTCATCCTGCTCATCATCATCATCATCATCCTCATCGCCCTCATCATCCTCATCATCATCATCATCATCAACAACACCACCGCCACCACCACCATCATCATCATCAATACCATCACCATCATCATCATCATCATCATCATCATCATCATATTCACCATGTTCATCATCTTCTGCATCTTCATCTTCATCTTCATCTTCATCTTCATCTTCATCTTCATCTTCATCTTCATCATCATCTTCATCTTCTTCATCAGCATCAGCATCAGCATCAGCATCAGCATCAGAATCAGCATCAGCATCAGCATCATCGTCATTATCATCATCAGTAGCAGCACAGCAGCATGCAGCATCGCTATCGTCATGATGGCCGTGACAAGAACTAATTATTCTTCGTCACACACAGAGAACAATCCCGTAGAATTTTTCGGTGGGAACTTCACGAGCGAGCATTTGGTTAGGTTTGAAATCCTCAACCCCCACGAGAATCGTTGCGAGAACAAGACCTGCAAAACCTAAGCCCAAAGCCACCGAGCCCCAACCCCAAACCCTAAACCCGAGGCCCCATTCTTGCGAACCCGAAAGGCGTGGCCTAGGATGCACTGCCGACTGCCCCTGCCTCCCAAGCACACGGGAGGGTTTGTGCAGTTTCCTCAAGTTCTACTTTCTGTATTCACGCACTGGTGTACTCCACTTGGAGGTTCATGGGTAGTTATAAGTGGGGTTATAAGTCCCCTAATATGGGTGATAAGTACAGCTACCCCACTTATAACCCGATTTATCACGACCTATGAACCTCCAAGTAGACCCTCGACCATGGCAGTTTGGGTGCAGTTCTGGAGTTGATAAAATACGCCTTCAGCTCCAGACAGTAAGTCTGGCAGCCCGTCACCTTTGACGACTGAACCGCTTGAAGGCGCCACCGCCTTGGCGCGTGGGCTGCAGGTGCAGTGCTTGCGATCTGGGGCATGTTCAAGCCGGGGGTATTGTCGGGTTTCTTTGAAGTCACGGGGTCTCGTGCTGCCACCACCACTACCAGTGCCACTACCGCTACCACTACCACTACGACGACGACGACGACGACTACTACTACTACTCTACTACTACTACCAACTACTGCTACTACTACTGCTACTTCTACTGCTACTACCACTACCACGACCACTACTGCTGCCACTACGGCGGCCACTGTCAATGCCACTGCTATAATACAACAACAGTGATGGCGAAGAAGAGAACAACAACAACAACAACAACCACCACCACCACCACAACAACAACCACCACCACCACNNCTGCCACTGCCACTGCTACTTCCACTACCCCTACCGCCACCTCTGCTGCAGCCGATGCTGCTGCTACTACAACTGCCACCACGCCCGCACCACCGCTACCAGCACTACAAACTAACACTTCGATTTAAGCGGCAAGAACGACAGGATACGTAGAGTCCTGCAGCCCTAAACCCTCCAGTCGAAGAGTCCCCAAAATCGCAAAACATCCCCGAGGCCACATTGAAGACGACACCCTAAAGCCGCGTGCTCCAAAATTCGTAAAGATCCGACAGCCCTAAAACCTAAACCCTAAA